CTTCAAAAGGAGAGGAAAAGTGCAGCAGGGCTGGCATAGCTCTATCCAAACTTCTCGTGGGCCGTCACCTAGAGTACGAGCTATACAGGATGGACGAATAATCGTCGGGCGACTGCAGAGAGGCAAGAACAAGGGCGCTCTAGAAAATCGAATTCAGCTCTTAAGAGCAATCTCATAAAAACTAGCTGCATGGCGAACTTTCTGTTTTGCATCTTCAGGGAGTCTGGTGAGTAATGAATCTGCAGCGGTCTCTTGCAGATATGATTCCAAGGTCGTGATCGATGTCAGGCGCATAGCCCAGAGGATGTCTTGTATGGGCCGATTACGCTTGTAAGCCAGGATAGCTCCCCCTCCACGAACCCCTGCCGGAGTCGGTCGGCAGTTCACGTGGATCTTGAGGGTGTCGAGGATCTTATCCCAGCGACTTCGGAAAGCTGATGCGGATCTCGGGAAGAGCTGCACGCTAGGTTCAAGCCGACTGAAGTGGCGTTCGAAGAATTTCACAGCAGCTTCATCAGCAACTCTCAGGTGTTGAATTCTCCCAATCCCCCGCCTTCTGCTTTTAGGCTTTCTGATCTTTAAAAAAGCAATCAACAGCTTGTCATCGAAACAATCGCTGGGCAACAATAGGTCGCCTCTGGTGGCGGCCAACACTTCCCCTATTCTAGAAATACCTTCATAGGCTAAAAGGAGTGTTGCGGCCCATCTGGTCCACTTCCAAAGAACTGCTATCGAGAACATCGCTCTGAAAAGACTCTCTGGTAATGGCTGTCTATGTTTCACAGGCTGATGCAGCTCCCATCGTGTCACTAGTTGCCAGCAAGGTCCAGTGGCAATTCGGATGCGGGGATATTCTTGTTGTACCAGCACTAGAAGGTGTCTCAACTCGTAGAGCTTTCCCCCAGTGGCAAAGAGGTGCAACCCATACCGTTCTAGAACCATGACAGCAATCTCCGGACACAGAAAAAGTTGGTTCCGGGCTTCTAGAGAAAGATTCTTGGACAGCCACTCCTGAAACCGCGCCCATACGCGGTTCTGCAGCTCAAACGTATGATTCTCAACCAGACGCACATCCAGCAACTCCTGAGCGTCTCGCTGAGGCCGCCGCCACCGACCTGGGCCGGGTTTTGAAGCCTCTCCAATCCTCTCAGGATTGCAGTGAGCACAGGCGCCGATCTTCAGCTTCCACTGCCGGCCAGTTGTGGTCAAGCCTGCGTGTATAGCCAGTGCTGTAGCGATGTCATGACAAAGGGCTTTGGGGTACACTTGCGCAACCCTCGTCCAGGAAGACTTCATAGCAGCACAGCGGCCACGGAGGGGCACGTGACTGTGCCCTCCCGCGCAGAGCTCTCGTAGACTCCGCAAAGAAGTATTGGTGGCTATTCGGGTGCGTTTTCTCCACCGGGTCCCATAACGACACATGTCAAACCTAAAACTCTTGTTCCAGCAGCCAATCCCAGAACGGAGGTAGGGACCAAGTAGCCAGAGAAAAGAACCGTCAGGATTCTCACACCACCAACCCAACTCTTTGGAATCTGCCAAGGTGAGAACCAGTAAAATAAAAGCAGCGTGTGAGTTGCCTATCTCGATCTTCTTCTGCATATTCTCCGTGACTCCTGCTATGCCTTCTGGTTGCAGGGCAGTCCGTACGGCCGGAGTCACTGCCCGAGAAAAAGAGGCGCACTCTGGGGCAGCTCCCACGCCGAGGAAACAGTCACTTCGAATCAGCTGCAGGATTTTCTCCCGCAGCTCTGGGTTTAACAAATTCTGCTCTTCACCCCGTTCGAAGTCGAACGTGAGGACCCAAACACCAAAAAGTCTACTAAGACAAGTTGCGGTTCCAGCTCTGCCGCTAAACAAGTCCAAGAAACCTTTGCGTTGCAGCGCAGGTGTGGTCTTAGCTCGTCTCCCTCCAGGCAGCACAAACTGGTCCGGCGCGAACTCGCGAAGAAGCGCCCGAGCCTCCGCAGCTAAAGCGCCAGCGCAAGGATTCTCAGCTATCGGCAGCTCTGCAGCGTCGGCGGCGCCGTCAGCAGTTTCTAGAGTTACAGGAGGTGGAGCTACCTCTCCAGAAGCAACACAATGGTGGACGGCCTCACCGCTTTCTTCAACTTTTAGCGGGCTCTTGTCGCGATTCTTGGTTTGGTCATCAGACTCTTCAGATGCTCCTTGTTCCGATTCTTCCTTTTGTACAATGGCGGGCTCTTTGAGCCTGCTACACGCAGCTTGCACATCGTCAAAAACTTGCAAACGTTGAGGCTTTGCTACAGACCTCAGCGGCAGCAGAACTTCCTCATTGACAGCTTCAGCATCTGTACAAAACGCATTGGCAAATGGGAGCTTGGCCAGCTGCTGCGGTGCATAGCCGGTCAGGCTCAACCACTCATCAAAATTTTTGAATTCTCCTACCAGGGCTTCAGCTAGCCAACTTGGGGGATCTTCACAAGGCCTTCTGACGGGCCTGTCCCGAGTTGGATCATCCGCACAATTCGCTAATGACGGCACGTAGCCGTACTCCCCGTAAAGATCGGCCCCCAAAATTGTAGGGAGGCTCTCCTCTAACAGAGAATTGATCCTGTCAGATCCGGAGCGGCCTTTCACTAAGGCGGCTAGAGCTACTTGGGAGTCTGCTCCGAGGAGGTAGCGCAAAGAAGATCTATTAGACGCTAGTTTGCGCTCCACATCTAGAATCCCCTCAATCTCCAAAAGGTTGATATGCCTGCGTCGCGAGACTATTCTCCGCGAGCAGACAGAAAAAGCAAGATACTGGGCTAGCTTCGTCCAAAGAAGGTGAGAAACAAGAGGGACTCCGTCCGGGAGCTCATCTTCCGGAAGCAACTTTGCGTGCTCCCTCATCCAACTATGCCAAGGCGCTAGAAGGCGGCTCCAGGTCCCACGAGCCAGGCAATGACGTCGCAGCTCCTGGGCAAAACAGCGAGACACTTGAGTCTTCACCGCAGCAATGCAGCTCTCAGAGGCATCGGATAAAAAGATCTCATCATGGGTAAAGGCACGGAGGTTGGTGGCAGCCAAGGGGGCTAGAAAACACAAAACCCACAACTCATCCACTAACGGAGCAGCCAGGGCGATGACATCAGTTCTCTGTCTCCCTCTCTGTACCTTATAGGTCTCTTGCAACAGACACATCATCCTGCGACGGAATTGCAAGATCGAGATCCAGCACCCGCATAAAATTTCCAGCAAAGCCACTGAAGCGTAGCCTAGCCGGGCTACTCTCATCGTGAGCTGAAGCAGAGGAACTAATCGCCGAGCAGCCGGCCTGCACACGCCCGTCGACCCGTTGATTTCAGCTCCCCAAATACTTGCTGTCTTGTCCCCTTTAAAAGTCTTCTTAGGATGAGGAAGGAGACCACGCTGGACGTACTCCTCACACAAGGCTTCCAACCGGCGTACTCCCTCCGTTCTGACCCCTTCTTGTCCTTCTTTTCCCAAGTCACGACTGACCTTCTCGCAGAAGAGGACGTCGTCAATCACCACTCCGCACGCCATGGACCCTCGAGGTGCACGGCCGTGGATCGTGAGGAGTTCATGAGATCGAAAAAGCTGACTTGTCAACCCTATCTTCATGTGCGCCTTCTGACCTATCTCTACTGCATTGTTGTCACCCATGGCCATAGTCGACAGGCAGGGATATAGAACTTTGGCACTCTTCATATGGTCCTTGTATGCATGCAAATGTCGAACCTGGGAAGGCCGCAGCGGTAGACGAAGGGCGTTTCGGAGGGCTCTGCGACGGCTGACTCGAAAACAGTAGTAATAGTCCTTGAGGTCCGTCCCAGAGAACCGAAGATCTTCTTCCGGGGAAAGTTCAATCTGAAGCACAGGCTGGATGGCTCCTAATGTCTGAACCCAATCATTCAATGTACTCTCTAGGTCGTTAGGAGGTCGGGCATCTAGTATAAGACGATCAAATTCAGCATCCTTTGTCAATGCAAATGCTCCGCAAAGGTGGGAAGGGCGGATCTCCTCCTTTTCAGCCAAGCGCAAGCGGTGGTGCTGATCCAACTTCTCTACAAAAGCTAGAGCTTCGATTGGTGTGGCATGAACTCTGATCCGTGGAGGCATCCTAGCCTCGAGCACAGGCCGAGCAAGGCTCACCGGGTCAGTGTAGACGGTACGGTGAGGCTCATCCAAAAGGGGGCCAGGATCAAATTCAGGAGCATTCTTGGGCATAGCTATCCGGGAGGCTTGCAGTTCTTTGGCTTGCACCGTCATTGCAGAGCTCATAGTGCCGACTACAGACCCCACATCTCCATCTTGGCGCCCAAGTTTCGGGGTTTCTCCCAAAGCGGCTTCACGTGACCGCAGCTTTGTGCTATAGTCACCGGCATGCAAACTAGAGGCTTGTTCTCGCAAGGAAAACAAAAGATCATCCAAGCTCTCGATCTTTGCGGCTGTCCTGCCCATTTCCGCAGGACCGATGTTTCCATCAAAGCTCACCTCCCTAAAAAAGATCTCGATTTTGCTCACAGCCCTTCTTTGCCTAGCTGTCAGCTGCTTCCCCAGCCTCATATCCGGCGGTGCCCGACGAGGTCGTCGGAGATGCAGCCAAGACAGCGTCAGCACTGCGAGGTTCACAGCTTTTTGCCTGGCTCGCACTGGAAAAGGGATGTCTTTGCTTGTAGCAGCTCCGGGTAGAAGCCAACATGGATAGGGAGGAGGCATAGGCCACACATCGAAAGCTGTGCCCTCATCAACTGAAGGCGGGGACTTTGGTAGAGACCGGAAAAAATCAGCGAAGGTTGAGCCGGAACCCAACATCCACCTAGTCATGGCTGTCCATAGCTGTAAAATACTGGAACTAGGCGCCTGTGAACCAGGCACCGGGGCAGTCGTTCTGTCCAAGGAAGGCTCAGCCGGCAAGCCGTGCCGACGACTGTTCTGAGCCTCCTGAGTCGTGGGGTCTAGCTCTCGGCTTGACCAGCGGGAGGTTTGTCTTCCTCCCGACCCTTTCCCCCTTTCCCCTCGCCTTTCTTCTTGGGCGAAGGTTTTGCCTTTGGAGCAGGCGATGGGGCTGCAGGATCCTTCCTGGGTGGCTGCAACTTGTTCCTCTTGTCGTGGTAGTCGGCTAGATCCCGAAGCTTGTTCAGAATCAGATCGACCCACCTTCCATCTATCAACCTGGTGTGCTGAGTCTCCCAGATCTCCGGCGGACTGTGCCGGCTGAACGATGCGAACGGCGGAGGCTCCTCCAGCGTCAGCTCGGAAGCCACCAAAAAAGAGCCCTTGTCGCAAGCATGCTGATCGATCATAGCTACCCCCAAGCCAGCTCGAGCCCTTGCTTCTTCGTAGCGCCCCAATCTGAGGCAATCCCAAATCCCTGCGAGCGTCCAGCCGAATCGGACCGATGTCTGATAGTTCTGAACTCGGCTGCGATGTTCCAGCCATCCTCGAGCAGAGATCTGAGTCGCTGAGACCCCCGGTAGAGCTTCGGAGGCATCCCAATCTTCTTGGAGTCTCCTCTCGAGACTCTGATAGATCACTGTGGGGTTGGTGACAAGCAAGCGCTGCAACTGTCTGAGGGCCGCTGCTTTTGACTTCAAGCTGGAGCCTGGTTCCTTTCCCGATCCAGATTCGTAGGAATCGAGGAGAGCGTCTAGGCTCTTGCTCTTCTTCTCCTTCTTCTGCTCCTGCATATTCTTCACTAGCTTCGTGAGCTGGATGACTGCGGTGCCAATTGGATCGACTGATCCAGTAGCGCCTCCCCCTCCTCCCGCTACCTGCTCTTCCTCCTCCGAGCTGTCGACAGGTTCTACCAATAGCCGAGGTTTTTGAGCAGGTGCTGGTTGAAGGGCCAAAAAACGACCCATCTCTGCTATGGCGTTCGGGGTAACTCCAGCTTGCAGTGCTTGATGAACCGCCTGAGGATCTAGTCCAGGCGGCGGAGCAAAAGCCTCCTCTGGCGGCGGCGCCACTGGCCTTTGAGTCTGTGGCCGAGTTTTCTCTTTTTCCTTGGTCTTCAGAGAGGGAGTGGGACCTTGCTGATCGACAAGCTTGCCCAACTTGTTCATAATGTCCTGCACTGATTTTTCCAGATTCGCAAGACGGCTTTCGGAGACAGTCCCGCCTCCTTCCGGCTGTCCCAGCCCGCTCTCTGCACTGAGGAACGTGAAATGATCCCGGGCCACCGCTACCAGGGAGCGTGCATAGGGAAGAACTGGTCGCCCTTCTGCATTGAGTGGAAAACTGATAACTGGCTCCTCCTCGCTTTGAAAAATTGCGAGGTCCTCGTACTCCTCCGCCAGCAAGCCCAGCCACACTCTGAGGTCTAGCTCTCCCACAGGCTGCAGCCGGTCCTCTTCGGAACAGGACTGCAGATCCACCCGCACCGCCTTGCGAAGCGCCCCAGGCGGGAGAGCTCGTTCTCTTTTGAGGCGACTCCATGCAGGCTCAGGCAAGGCAACCAGAACACGGTTGTCTACTAGGGAGACTGAGATCACACTAGTCGAGATGGGGGGGTCTTCAAAAGACAAAATGCCTATGTTGAAGTCTTCAATCAAAGTATCTCCAGAGATCACAAAATTGTCTCGGAGCGAGGAAAGCTCTGGAACCTCCGCCTCGCTCTCTTCCCGCACGGCTTCAGCTGCTGCCATCAATGCCGCTCAAGAGCGGCAGGAAAACGGAGCTGTGCAGCCCGCAGCGCAATCCTCACCTCTGCCTGGCTAGGTAGCCCGACAAAGACGCTATCCCCGCACTGTCCCTTCGCCTGGCAATGGGACTTGGCCTCGCTCCAAGCTCTGAACAAGAGAGGGGGGTCGTGCACACAGCCGCTAAGGTCCCTGACGACCAAGTAGTACTGATTGCCCTGAGGGATCTTTTCACGGCCCGAAAGACCGCGATGCTCACCTTTCAGCCCCCTGCGCAACCACCGCCCGATCTCCTCCGCAGCTTGCACCCGGAAGGCAGGCAATCCTGAATCGCCCACCGAGCTCGAGGCCCGAGGAGGTGTAGCCGGAGCGCGCTCAGCAGCTTCACTGACCACGTCGAATTCCGAAGGGGCTCGATCACTCTTTTCTTCTAAAACCGCAACCCGCTCTTCCAACCTTCTGACTTGGGATTTGCACTCTAGAAGCTCAACTTGTAACTGGTCTATCAAAGAAACAAGAGTTGAGGTGGAGGATGACCCAATCATACGATTCTGTACTTTCCTTCCAAGGTGCGTCTGGCCAGAACAGCCAAGCGGTCCCGCACCCAAAGCCTCCAGCTTTGCCGTATGATGTTCAGCAAGTCCAAGCACGGTCCCAGGCTGAGGCCAATGCAGATCCCTATTACCAGCGAAAACCAGTCCAGAGGCACACTCTCAGGACACAAAGGACAGTCTAAGGGATAGGGCAGCACCGAAGGTGAGGAAAGGTCAGAGAGCAAACGCAGCGCGAGGGCAGAAAAAGTGCCACCGGTCGCTCCGACGGTTAGGGTCCGGTCCATCCAAGGCTTGACCCGAAAAGCTGAAGAATTGGTCGTTTGCATGGGAGGCATTCAAAGCGTCCTATCTCTCGAGGCATCCTACCTTTTCCCGTAAAAAAAAATAAACATAAAAACTCCAAAAAGCACCTCTTGGTCTCCCACATCTTCTTCGGACATATCTTCCCCGGCGCCACATAGCGCCCTTCTCGCCTTATAGCCGAAGCCCTTCTCCCCGGTGCAGAGCGCCCGGAAATTCTCCGCCGTCTTCGGCACCACGTCACCGCGGAGCATCATCACCACACGGCCCACCTGCCACGGGCGGTCGGGAACAACCGGGCGAGCTGGGTGGGGCACGGTGGAGCGACAGAGGCAGATGGACGGAGCATGTACACAACAAGACTTGCAAAGCTCCAGGACCTGAGCCCTTCGTGACCTCTTTGGAGTCTGTAAGTGACCTCTTCATCCTCTTCAGGGACGATTCGTGACCTCAGCCACTGGGATCTCAAGTTCGGTCACTTTGAAGGTCCTGGTGAAAACAAGACTGCATTGAACGGAAAACACCAGACGCATCCAGACGCCTAAAGCCAGAGACCGTCATGCCCTCAGGACGATCAACGCACGAGGTGAGTGAAACCCAGAATGGTCGTGGAAGAACTTCCAAGATTCCAAGACCTGACTCCACCTCTATGGACCTCTTTTGAGACTTCCTTCAAGTCCATCCAAAGTCGAAACTGATCCGGTCACTGTATAGGGAATCCTTGGGGTAAGGAAATGCTCTTAGTTGGAAGCTCTACCCCTCTGCACTCCTCGTGACCGTCCCGACCATCCGCCCAGCACTCGGCCTTCTCGCCGTCGAGCTCGATATCGAAGAAGCATCGGGGGCATTTGGCGGCCTTGCCCAGCAGCGTGTCCCACTTCTTTTGGTACATCTCCTTTTTGGCGGGTCAACTTGGAGCGGTCCAGTTCCAACACGAACGAGAGAGCTCCGAGACGACTTCCTGACTTGATCAGGTCCTTCGCAAAAGGGTCCTTTGGACTGTTCCCCAGATTCTAAGATATGCGCGTCCCGTTTGAGCTATGGGTCAAGAGTCCTGACAATTCTCGAGCTGTTTTTTCGAAGAATTTCACGCACGCATTCTGCGTACGCAGAAGGAAATTGATCTCCAACAGCTAAGACTATATAATGTGGTTTTCTGGCTGCCGGCAGAGATTCAGCTTGAACTGAGATTTCAATTGCATATTTGCAATTTTGGAAAAGCTGCCTCTCAAATGGGAATGCCTGGTTGCCTACTATCCCCTGCAACTCGACTATACTCCTATAGGAAAGACGTCAACAACTGTTGAATAACTTGTTCTGGGCACCCTCGCATTTGCCGCATTCAACATGTTGGATCTCTACGCCAGCGCGCCCACACAGGGCGGGCCTTGAATCCTGAAGAAACCGAACCGCGAGGACCAGTACATCGGAGAGATGTTTAGCTTCGAAGTGTACATCCTGGAGCCTGATCAGTGCGGACTCCGCTTGACTCCATAGTCCCTGGGAGTTGATGTCTGCCACGGATGTCCCAAACAAGTACAGCAGCTGATGGAATTGCCATAGATGCCAAAACGAGAAGACTCCCAAACGAACAAGCTATCTTGTAAGTTACCCAAAAGTGATCTCAAGACACTCAGGAACTGCATTTTTGGCACAAGGTCTCCTTAACTTGTCAACCACAAAGATCACACTGACCAAACCTGCACCTACTCACCGCCGACCAACCAGCTGGGTGATGGTCCTTGAGGCTGTTTAGCTGTTTACACTTACTCCTGGGTCTTTTCGCGCTCGGCACAAAATACGCAAAAGTCTCATCATCTCTGCCCTGAGGCTCCACTGGTGTCAGTCTCTTGGCTCGGCTCCTTGATGGACTTCTCCAAGTCTTCCTCCGTGGCATACTTGGCTTTGAGCTCCTGGAACCAGGATTTGCAAAATTTACCAGGAACAGTACTGAGGGGTACAAGTACAACATCTGCAAGCGGTGTGTGTATCTTTAGATCCGGGTTCAGTCTTTCCATGGTCTATGTCCCAGTAGGTCGGAATGCCTGGGAGGTCTCCCTATGTCAACCTACTAGCGATGGCCTCCACCTAATAGCGATCTACTGGGTGGAGGCCATCAACCTACTAGCGATGGCCTCCACCTAATAGCAAT